GTCAAACAAGTACAAAAAATAATTTTTTTCGTGCATATTTTCCATAAAATGTGTTTGAATTTATAAGGGCAGTCAAAATCAACAATGAAAAGGCATACTACTTAAGTAGCTAGTTATTACAATAGATACGTTTTACTAGTGGTCAGAACTAAGCTCGTTAAAAAGCTCGCATCCTCTCATGACCAAAATGACTTCAGAATACACTACACGATAATCAGTATCCCAACTGGAGTCAATTCCGATTAGCGAAAGAGTATTAGTCTTTCGCATATGTCGATATATTGCATGATCAACAGCGTCTACTCTTAGTAGAGATAACCTCTTGTTGTCTCTGTTCTATTTTTTTATCCGGCAATGTTACTCATGTGAGCGTCCAAGGAGTCAAGTTTGGCAAACGTACGTTTTCGATTATTTGCCATTCGGCATTTGCAATAATATAACGGAGGGCAGAGTAGCAAAAGTTTAAATATCAAATAAACAGTAAGTATGAGAGGGTTGCGGGTGTTCAGAGGTCAGGTGGTATAGTCTATTCCTATCAGGAGCTCAGAGAGGGAGGGGAAGGTGTCCGGCAATTAATTCATGTCTCCGCGTCCTCGCAGTAACGCGACGTGGAGGAGATGTAAACACACATCCTGCGTTCGTCTTCGACCAGGGGAGACTTAGTGCCTGTATAAACGCTTTCTTCGCGCACAAAGTTTGGCTAGTTAGCCGTATGGTGACTGTTTTCAACCTATCTCACTGGCGCAGTTACTGTGTGTTATTTCTGCTTGCTGCGGCGGGCTCACTCTGTGATCCATTCATATATATATATAGTCCGCTACGTTATATCGTTGATTGGTAAAACTGCATTTTAGCTTTTCGAAAATATTGCGTCAGGATTTTTTAAATCATGGGATGCGGAACACAGATTTCTGTTACACCGATAGTCGAAGTTCACGTCCTGAAATCGGTCACCCATGGCACTATCACACGACAGAACCCTTTCATTGGCGTTTCGTTCTGTATGAGGTTGTTTTCTTTGATACGGTATTGCCATTGAAGGGCATGTCATCGTTCGAGTTCGTAGCCATCTACCAGTTAAGTCGTAGTACGGGTTTTATTCCATGTCAACGCTGCTAGGCAGTCAGAATTAACCCAGGAGGATCCCGAGCCGTGGCCTGGATCCTAACGACGACCCATGCGTATTTCGTTGCGGTGAGAACCTCCTCAAGAGCACACGGCTCAGATTTTCAGGAAGTATGCCTCTCAGTTTCGGCACCATGCTTGTAGCATAAATATACTTGGACACCATTGAACCGCTATATAGTCGATTTGGTTTTCGGTGAACCATGATTTGAAAACCAATGTGCATCATAACCCATAAAACTATTAGGCAGGGCTAGACGACTGATTCGTATGGAACATCATCCGAAGTCAGTTCATGCACGGTAGCATCTCGTCTTTCGACTGAACATATATCAATACGTCTATTGTATTTTTCGCCTAGAAAAAAATCATTTACTCGTGAAATATACATTTTCCTCCCTGATGTTCTATCACTTTCTAAATATAATCCTACTCCTAAGCCAAGTGCGCGAATAGATACTTTTATACGCATACAGTATCAGTATTAGGTATCAGTTTATTGATGGAAGTATAGGCGAACGCTTTTGAGCTCTTTTTTCGTAACCAAAATCTATTTTAAATAATGCGAAATCTTATTCAGTCAACTTCTGCAGCAAGTTCTTAGTTAATCTTTCATCAGCGCCGACAACCCGGTCTATGACTGCGCCATCTTTAAATCCTAGGATGGTGGGCATCAGCGTAATTATATAGGTCTGCTCCATTTCCTGCAGCTCATCCACATCCACCTTCAAGAACGCTGCAGTCCTCGTATCTTCAGCCTGTTTATGTAGCCTTGAAGCAAGCTGTTTGCACGGTCCATACCACGTTAGGTAAAAATCGACGATCGATGGACCGGTGGCTATCTTCTCTTTGAGCTCATCAGCAGACATAATCTGGCTGACGGCCAGGCTGATGAATGTGAAATAGCGATGAGAAATTGCGTCTCCTTTAGACTTACTACCCAAAGAACAGTAGTTATTTTCAAGAAAGCAAGTCATTAGAAAACGAACGGCGGAAAACAAGTATACTAAAAGTGATTAGTTTAAAATCAGCTAGACTGGAAAGTATACCAGAATATTACCTAATTCAAAAATAACGAAAATTTGTTTATTGTGGCTGTTCACATACTCAGACAGACGTGGAAACAGCCAGAGTGTCTTCATTGCCTTTTTGGTGTATTTATGAACGGTAAATACGAGCTTTTCTTTTGCCTTAAGACCCTCTATGGC